TTATGTATCATCTACAATTCAATTCCAAACTAGTTGGGATGCCTACATGAATCGTGGTATTCATCATAGTTTGACTATCTTCTACTCCTACCTTCCTCATTTACCTAGGTATAGTTGTTGGGGAAACTACTACATTGAAACTTAATAGATATAAGATAGTAACGAGTAATCAAAACAAATGTGGTGTCGTGGCAAGCTATTGCCTTGAAAGTGATTTTAGTCCGACTAGGATGCACATTGTTCTAATCGGTCGCTCCTCAAGTTTCCACAACACTGATGGCTAGAAGCTTGTAGAAAATGAATTGCCTAGAAAAAAAGAAAGAGAAGAACAAGTGTGGAGAAGAGAGAATATTTTTGAGGTAGAGGAAAAGGCTTGCAAATGGTCTGCTTGTATAGACAAATTTCTGGAGTTGTTACAAAGGGGACTAAATGAGTTGAAACATAATTAAAATGGATGTTATGAGAGTGATAAATGTTGTTACGGAATTTATTCTAGTAATGTATCTGGATATATTCTTGTAAGCATGTATTTGGACACTTTCTGGTAGGCTTAAAAAGTTAAAATTACTTTTTCCCAAAACCAAATTTAGATTAGGTCTTCACATATATTGTGCTCGCAGGCGGGCCCAATCAACCAATTTTGCCTACAAGTCTTTTCTCCTGTGCACAAGGCCACTCCCACTAACTCTTTACAAGCCCAATAAAGAATAATTTAATATATAAAGAGAAGAAACAAATTATTCTTAATCAATGAGGTACTTTTGTCTTTTACATAAGACAAGTAGTTGGGGAAAATGGACCCACAAAAATTCTTTATTCTTTGTATTATTAAAATGAAAAAAAGGAACAATTCCAGCAATCCTCCAGACCTCCACTAATGCAAGGGTAAAGAAAAATAAACACTAGTTTAGGACAAAGGAAGGATATATATTTATGTGTCGATGTCTTTTGATTTGAATTGATACATAGTGACATGGGGCAACAACCAATATGCACAAACTGAAGTACTCTTGAACTGAATGGACTTTAGTTGAGACCCCCACAATACATGTTATCCTAAATTTTAAGCAAACTCCACAATACTTACAAAGTGCGTTTATGGTCACGCTCATACCTTGGGTCTCTTGAGTGCTTTAGAAAGACAACCCAAATCTTACATAGAAGGCATCCATACTTTCACTCTCTTAGATGATTCCATCAAGTCTATCTCAATATAGACCACCATAAGGCTATGGAATCATTAAGAGCAAAATAAGCTCAACCTAACAAAGCACTACCACACGCCATAGGAATAGGAAATGTAGTGCATATTGAGGGCTTATATGGCTTCGTTTGACCACAAATGTGTATCCACCATACTACCTCAATCAATGGACTTTAGCCCCATCCCCTATATGTTTCAAGGATCATTTTCCTTGCCTAACCTTTGGTTAAAGGATCCGCTAAATTTCTTTTAAACCTTACATATTCCAGGTAAACAACACCATATTTCAACAATTGTTTAACTGCACCATGTCTAACATGAATGAATCTCATTTTTCTAGTCACCTATTTCTCGGTAATTCCAATTGTTACTGTGAGTCGCAATGTAGACACAGTGAAGCTTGTTTCCCCACAATGGCACATCTACCAAAAAGTTTCTCAACCATTTGGTCTCTTGCTCTGCCAACTGAAAAGCAATGAATTTTGATTCCGTAGTAGACTATATGATTAGAAATTATAGTCTATATTCACTTTTTATAGCCTCTTTCCAAAATATAGAATCTATTCACCTTTTTGATTCATCATAAATCTAGTAGACACTAATTCATCATTTAAAACACCAATGTAAAAATTCTAAGTCAAAAAGTCAATGATAAAGTCAGGACCAAAGCTAGTCTCAACTTTATGCGTTTTACTCCTTCTAAGTTCATTTTCATGTTCATTAGCAATAACATCAAAAAAGGCACAACATGAGAATTAACATGCATAGACGTAGAAACGTTATTTTGCACATCACTAGGCATATCAATTTTCAAAGGAAAAACATATTCAAAAAATTTCCCATCACTAGATTCCTAAATAGAATTCAAAGATACGATGTAACACTAATTTGAGCCTAAGGAATACAAAAAGTACCAAAAGTTTTAGGTCCCACCTTTAACGTTTTTAACAAAACGGGTAGACCAACCTTAGTCAAACACTCCCATACTTTTAAAAATTTCAAGTTAGGGACAAGCTCTTTCCATGAGATATAGAGTCTTGCCCAACTTCTTTTGAGGAGCTCTATGAAGAACATGGAATGCAAACAAAACAACTTCTCTCCACATGTTGCCAGATCGGGCTTCTAGAGTGTCAGTACTACTTGAACCCTATCAAATCTAAGTGTCTCAATTTTTTCTGTCCAATTGGCTCTCCACTTCTATTTTGAATTTCAAGAACATACTCTCCATCTATTCACCTTTTTGATTCATCATAAATCTAGTAGACACTAATTCATCATTTAAAACACCAATGTAAAAATTCTAAGTCAAAAAGTCAATGATAAAGTCAGGACCAAAGCTAGTCTCAACTTTATGCGTTTTACTCCTTCTAAGTTCATTTTCATGTTCATTAGCAATAACATCAAAAAAGGCACAACATGAGAATTAACATGCATAGACGTAGAAACGTTATTTTGCACATCACTAGGCATATCAATTTTCAAAGGAAAAACATATTCAAAAAATTTCCCATCACTAGATTCCTAAATAGAATTCAAAGATACGATGTAACACTAATTTGAGCCTAAGGAATACAAAAAGTACCAAAAGTTTTAGGTCCCACCTTTAACGTTTTTAACAAAACGGGTAGACCAACCTTAGTCAAACACTCCCATACTTTTAAAAATTTCAAGTTAGGGACAAGCTCTTTCCATGAGATATAGAGTCTTGCCCAACTTCTTTTGAGGAGCTCTATGAAGAACATGGAATGCAAACAAAACAACTTCTCTCCACATGTTGCCAGATCGGGCTTCTAGAGTGTCAGTACTACTTGAACCCTATCAAATCTAAGTGTCTCAATTTTTTCTGTCCAATTGGCTCTCCACTTCTATTTTGAATTTCAAGAACATACTCTCAACCACATTCTTAGAATTAAGAAGATATAACATATTGTATCTAGAGAAATCATCAGCAAAAGTGATGTAATACTTCATTTTACCTTTGCTAACAGTGTTCTTCAAAACAGTTAAGCCTGAATGTATTAGTTCAAGCAATTCATTCTTTCAACTAGTAATAGTTTTAAATGGTTTCTTGATATTTTTTGTATCTATACATGCGATGCACTGAAAAAAATCATCCGAATTTATCCCAGGGATTAATTTCATTTTTCTAAGTTTTTTAATAAAAGCAATATTAACAACCTAGTCTACCATGACAAAAGTTAACAAACTCAACAATATAAGCAGATCTAGAATTACTTGCATTATTGACAACTTCTTGAACCATATTCCGCACAAATAAACCTTTATTGAGGTACCCCTTCCCAACAAATCCTTTGTGAGAAATTAATTATTTTATCAGCTTCAAAAACAAGTTTAAGACATGCTTTGTAGAGAAGTGCTAGTGAAACTAAGTTTTTACAAAGGGAAGGGAATACAGAACATTGTTCAAGGCCAATGTTTTTCCAGAAGTTAACTTAAGCAAAATTTTCATGTACCCATAACTCTAGAAATGATGGAGTTACCCATGTAGACACACTCATCATCGGTAGACTCCTCAAAATCATGAAACAACTCCTAGTTGATGCAAACATGTCTTAAGGCCCCTATGTCCAATTCCCAATCAATCTTGTTAGCAACTGAGTTTGCCTCGACAACAACGGTAACAATCTCTTCATCACCCTCAACAAGGTGAGCTTGGATAGAAGCTTGTCCTCCCTCTTCAAGGTTTGCCCTTATCTTTGATAGCACTAGGCAGCCTTTGCCCAAAATTTGATCTTATTTTTTACCTTTTGCATTAGTGGGGGTTGATGAAATAATTCCTTTCATTACCCTCAGCAAGATGAGCTTGGATAGAAGCTTTCCCTCCTTGCTTCGAGTTTTACCTTTGTCTTTAATAGCATTAGATAACCTTTTCCCAAAATTTGTTCTCATTCTTTACCTTAGCATTAGTGAGGGATTGTTGGAATTATTTCTTTATTATTTCTTTTCTTTGGCATTATTTCTTTTTAAATAATGCAAAGAATAAAGAATTCTTGTAGGTCCGGTTTGCCCGAACTACTTTCTTGTCTTATGTGAGACAAAAGTCTCTCATTAATTAGAAAAAGCTCTTTTTTCTCCTTAATATAAATTGCCCTTTATTGGGCTTGTAACGAGCTAGTAAAAAGGAGTGGTCTTGCGCACATGAGAAGTGGCTTGAAGACAAAACTGATCAATGTTCCCCTGCTTGCTGTATATATGTGAGACCTATCCCAAATTTGATTTTAAGAAAATATTTTTAGTTTTTTTTTAATTTACATATAAAGTATCCAAATACATGTATACAAGAATATATCCCGATATATTACTAAATAAATTTTGTAACACAAGTCAATCACTATTGTAATAGCAATTTTTAATTAGTAACAACCAAGTTAATTGTGACAATCAACTTAATTTTGTTACAACTCACTAAGCCTCCTTTATAACACCTCCAGAATTAACCTATATAAAGCAGACCATTTTTGACCTTTTTCCTACCCTAAAAAAATTCTCTCTTCTTCTCCTAATGTGTTCTCCTCTTTATGTTATTTCTGAGCTGTGGAACCTCAGAGAGCAACAGTTAACAACTATGTATATCCTAGTAGGACTGAAATCGCTCTCGAACACCACAACATAAGATTTGTTTCAATAAGTTGTAATTTTTCCAACAACTATAATGTTACATATTTACGGTCACCAAAGATTTCTCTTTTCCCAACGTTCTCAAGGAACCCAAGAAGGTAAGCAGTTTCAAAAGGTTAAATGTGTATATAAAACCAAAGAATTGAAGAAACAGTACCTGATTGAGATTATTATCGCGAAGATGAGCGACTATGAGAGAATTAACATGACGGAACAATTTCCCGGCTTGCAATTTGTGCTCCAAGTTATCATTGTTATGGTTGCTCCCCATTTAACTTATTGCTGCCCTAATTTATTCAATGAAACAAACAGAAACAATACCCTCAGAATCTTTGTTGATTCACAAATTTGGCTTTGCAGTGTTCGGGATTGAAAGAGAGAAAGCAATAATGGCAAACTGATAACCCTTGTCTTAAAGCTCGTACAGAATTTTGGAAGAGGATGAAACTGAAGTACTATGAGCTTCAGAACTCTACCGCCGCCATTTGAGTACACTACAATGCTTCTTGGCAGTCCAATTTGGATTTGCTTTTGCAATTGATTTAGGAAAAAGTTAATTTAGGTTTTCTTCTTTAAAAAATTGGAGTGATTTGGTCAAGTATTCAATAAGCAAGTTGCTATTAGTCATGGTATTAGTATAGTATCCGCGCGATGCGCCTATATTACAACTCCGAAATTGTTTAGGTAGTATTTAGTACTAATGAATTGCTTTGTCTTTATGAGTGAACTATAACTAAAAGAAAATGGGTGAGAAAACTTTTGGTTTGAAGAGTTGGAAATTTTCTTGGACAAAATCTTAGTAAGGTAAGGTCTATGACAATCCGAGAAAAGGATTGAGAGAAATGTCTAGGTAAAGTCTAATTCCCTTGTTGCTAAGACATTAAGAAGACAATATGACTTTTCGAAAGTGAATTCGGGTTAATAGAACTCCAATCTCAATGATGAACTTATCGTGAAGGGGTTGGTTTGGAATGTCAAGGTTTGAAGGTGCGTTGCGAAATAGGCTAATTTTGGAGGATTTCCGAGTTTCTGTCTCGTGCAAGCCGGTATAGTGGGTGATACGCTTCTATAGCGATGGATTTAATTCCCGTTACAATGGCGCTACCATAGCGAAATTACGCCGCTATAGTGGGTGATACACTGCTTTAGTGGTGGATCTAATTCCCTCTACAGCATTGCTGCTATAGCGGAATTGGATCGCTATAGCGGGGTTAGTCACAGTTAATGTAGAAAATCTCCCAAACCCGCTCATTAATTGGCAATTACGTTTTGGGGAAGAGCATAGGAAACCTAAGGTGAATTTCATTTGTTTACCATCGTAATCATTTGTAAAGGTAAGTAAACTACTCCCCTAGCTTGGTAATTCAATTCTAGAGCCTTAGAATCTGTGGTGATGATCATAGGGGAGGGTTTCTTTAATTTAATGGTGGGAAAACACTGGTTTAGGTGGGATAATTATGAGAATGGTTTGGGGTTTGGGATCAGGATATAATTCGAGTGTATTTAAACCATTTAGGTCTAATTATGTGTTATATTGATTGTTTGTAGACCAAGAACATGTTACATATCACAACAAGGTGAAAATTCATGCTTGATTTGAGGTAAGTGATGGTTGTTTGATTCTCGTGCTTGCTAACTGATTCATTAATATTATTTATATAAGGTATGGTTAAGAAAATCGAAGGAGTATAAACCAAAATGATTAACTTGTGGTCAATCACATTCAATGAATGTGTTTACTTGAGTGTACAAGTGTGATTTTTATTCATTAAGATTGTGATTGTAATGTGTGATTGTTGGTTGGCTTGGGTACCACGTCTAGTACATACTAACGATTGGGCACCATGCCTAGTACATGATATCTCTTGGTTGGCTCGGGTATCACACTTAATACATATTCGGTTGACTCGGGTACCATACCTAATATGGATTATCTATATGGTTGGCTCGAGTATCACGCCGGTACAAATTACTATTGATTGACTCGGATACCATGTCTGGTACATGTGATTGTTTGTGTGTGGATTCCATGAGTGAATCAAGTTGGCTTGTTGTAATGTTAGTGATCACGTTTATTGCGTATATTATTTATTTAACTAAGTTGTGGTTACCTGTTTATATCTCATATATCTAGAGTTGGCCAATGATCCTACTAGTACACTATGGATTTTATGTACTGATATTGTACTTTCTCTTTTTTGTTGAGCACAAGGCATATTTCGACGTCTTTGCGATTTGAGTTGCTTCGTCCAAGCCGATATGGATTCCTCTTTTCCATGCAGTCCATTTTTTAGACTTAGACTCTTATTGTTTTGGGGTTGCAACCCCACATTTTAGGCTATGTAGATATTTTGATACACGATTTTCAGGTTCTAGGGGGTTATTCCGTAATGTTTTGTTGATTATGTCTTGAAATGTGACTCTGTGGTTTAATTTATAAAGACTATTTCCTTTTAGTTGTTTGGTGTATTGCATGTTAGTAGAATAGTTGGTTCTCCCACCAGGGATTTAGTGTGGGTTCTTCTCGCGACGGGTTGAGTCGTGATAAAGTTGATATCAAAGTCCTAAGTTCGTTGATCTCATAGTACCAAAATAGATCTAGTAAATTCTTATGGAACGATATTGAGAAATACTTTTCTTCGAGAGGCCATAGGACTTCAAGATATTTTCTTTTCGTGCCGTAACTTGCTTACGATTGGTATCTGGCAATCCAAATTGCACTAGACGAAACAGGGTGAGAGTACTAGCTCAAGCTATAGAACTGGTAATGTGAGGGCGAGGAAAGGGTAGAGACAGAGGAAAGGGCAAAGGCAGAGGGAGAGAAACACCTTCCAGGGGTGGAGCTTAGGCATTGGCTGGGCCAAGGCCAACAACCCCTCCCCCACCTAAGATTCATGCTAAGGAGAATGTGGAGGTAGATTTCGAGGAGGGTGTTGAACCTGAGATGGCAAACATAGGTTGAGGGTGCAGGTCTTCCCTCTATGACTTATGAGGTCGTTCATCAAGTGTTGGCCTCCATGAGTGGGAGAGCTAGTACTGAGCCACTCCTACTGAGTCGACTACTCAGGCTTTAGGTTTTCATCCCATTGCTACCACTGCTATCAAGATGGATGAAGTTTTGGGTCTAATGTGTTATTTTGTCCTATACTAGGCCTTGTCATGACCAAGACTAAGCATTAGTTGTTGACTAAGAGGGTGTTTGGATTGGCAATTTTTGATTTTTGAAAGTGTTTGGCAATTATAAAAATAACTTAAATAAATCAAAAATGACTTAAAATAAGTTAGAAGTAAAAAGTAGGGGCCCCCTACTTTTATTTTTTAACTTTAAAGTCATATTAGTTTGACCAAGGATATTACTTTTTATACCCTTAATTCTTTTAAATTATTCCAAATTTGCCCTTATGAAATAGAACACTAACATCTCTTTTCCTCAACTTTCTTTGCTGATGCGGTGCTCCAATGCGTTAAAGCTCCAAAGCTCCCCCTACTTAGTTTTCTTGTTCTTCTTTAACATTTTAGTTTTCATTTCTTTTTCACGAGACAAAAGTATCGACATTGAAGTAATTATTCTTCATTCTTTCTCGATTTTTGTATTTTCTTTTCGGATTATGTATTTTTTATTTTTCTGTTTTCTTTTGTTGTTGCATCTAGTAATTTATAAGTTGTCAACAACCCCTTGACACCCCCAAAAAGATATTGTCTAATTTGTTGCACTTTTGGATTTGTTTAGTTTAAGTTTTTTTGGTTGTAATGGTATCCACTCAGCAACTAGATGTAGGAAAATAATGAACAATTTTAAGTTTTTCTTCATTCTCTCTCGATTTCTGTATTTTCTTCTTGGATTATGTACTTTTTATTATTATTTTTTGTTTTCTTTTGTTGTTGCAATGTTGTTTTTTGTATTTTAACTATGTATCAAATAATCTCTTTATTTAGTTAGTTGTAGTATATAATTTGATTGTGTGTAGTATATATTTGTCATCTATTATAAGATTATAGAAGTAGTTATTCTCAATTTTCTTCTCAATTTTCATTTTCAGATCATTTACACCATGTCGTAAATTAATTTGAGATACACTAATGCTAAGTGGGATGATGATGTCTATCTCAAATTTATAGAGTTATGTGAATTGGAGATTAGGAAAGGAACTAGACTAAATACTCATTTATCTAAAGATGGATGAAAAAATATGATCGATGAGTTCAATAAAAAGATGAAAACACGCTATAAAAAAATAAATGAAAATCATTGGAATAGCTTGAAAGTCGAGTGGACTCTTTTAAAGCAATTGATGAGAGGGGATACATGTATAGGATGGAATGCCACCAAAAATACAATTATGGTAGATGATGATTGGTGGAAGCGAAAAATTAAGGTACATTTCTCACATTGTTCTATATGTCTTTGTTATTTCTTTCATTGTTGAATTTTAATTTACCTAAATTTATTTTTTATCTTTTGTTACGGGAGGATGTTCGATATAGAAAATTTAGGAATAAAGATCTTTTGCTCATATGATTTCTCTATGATGCATTATTTTCTGATATTGTTGCTACGGGAGAAAGAACACGTGTCGCAAATCAAGAATAATTTTTTAAAAATAGGATAAATTAAAAAAAAGAAAAGAATAAATGATATTGATGATGATGGTAGGGAACACTTTATTAATCCTAATGATGAAGGGGTGATTAAAGTGATGATCCACAAGATATGAATTCTACAATGTTTCCTAAGCCATCACTAAAAACACAAATTTCAATTGATGATATTGGAACTAGTAATCAACTAAAAAAAGTAAGACAAAATAAATTGTTGCATCAATGAAAGAGGATATGCACTTTTTAGTAGAGTTAATATCTAACAAAAGTACTGCTACATCTCATGCAGTAGATGATCCCAACATTGATAAGTGTATGAATATTTTGGGAAGCATACCGAATATTTTTTGAAAAGGGTGAAATGTATAACTATTTTGTGAACATGTTTCTTAAAAAAGACATTCAACAAGTGTTTCTTAAGATGCCTACTGAAGAAGCTCCAAAGTCTTGGATTGAGTATTAACTATCAATTATACCTTAAGAAAGTGTGAAGAATGTATTGTTATGGAAAAAAATAATTTTATTATTTTATGTATGACATTATGCTTGTACGCATAAACTTTATTTATTGTCTTTAATTTGGTTTAGACATTATGGTTGTATGGTTAAACTTTTTAAAATTAGTTATGTAAATGTATTCATTATGTTTAATTTATGTAAATGTATTTGTTGTGTTGAATTTATATATAGGTGTTTGTTGTGTTGCATTCAGATAAGTGTATTTGTTGTGTTGAATTTATATATAGATGTTTGTTGTGTTGCATTTATATAAATATTTTTGTTGTCTTGAATTTATATATACGTGTTTATTGTGTAGAATTTATATAAAAATGTATGTTGTGATTGAATTTATATAAATGTGTTAATAATATGGAAAGTATATAAAATAGTAAAATTCTTGTTTGAATTTATATAAATATTTTTATTGTTATGAATTTGTGTGTGTGTGAGCGCGCACGTGCGTGTGTGTGTGGAATTTATACAAAGATGTATGTTGTGACT